TGGCACCGAGGTGGCCAGGGCCTCGGGGGAGGATGCGGAGGTGTCTCTCGGTGTCCCTGCACCCTCCGGGTGCCTCTGCTAGATGAGAATTCGGAACAGGAAGGAGACGGCAGCTCCTAGGGCCAAGCCCAGCGACAGGAAAAACGCCATGACGGCTCCAGCCGTCTCCGCTTCGTGGGCAAGCACTTTCCTAGGACAGAAACAGGGGTCAGACCCGTCCTCGGGGATGCGTGCCCCATGCCCTGCTGTGAGTTCAATGCAGGGATGGGAGGAGGCCACAGAGGAGCCAGGAGCTGTGCTCCTCTGCAGCAGAGGAACGTCAAGAGCAAATCCACCTTGGCTCCAAGAGCCTGCCTCCATATGACAGGCTCGTGGAGAAAGAAAAGGTGCCTCAGGCAGGCTGCCCTGAAGCTCCCGGCGCCAGGGACACCCCTCCCCGAGTCCTGCCCCCTGCACGGCAGCCCGCCTGGCTGAGCTCCAGCTGGGCTCCTTGTCCTGCCCGTGCTCCTGCGCTGGGCAAGGCTGCTCGCCCTGCTGCGGGTGCTGCACCACGCTTCGCTCCCCTCCCAATCCCCGCTGCGGCCAGCCCCTGCCCCAGCGGGGCAGGTGGGGGAAATGGAGAGCCCAAACAATAGCCTCCTCGCCTCTGGGATGCGGAGGCACGAGGCTGGGAGATGGCACACTGCGGTTGTCTTCCCGGAGGCAGTGTGGCCATCCCGCTCTCCATCCCCCTCTCCAAACGCCAGAGCTGGGCAGGGGCAGACTCCAGTCGTGTCAGGGCTGGCATCTGCGGGTGTAACCAACCCTTCCCCCATCCCCAGCTCTCACTCACTTGGGCCCGAAGCACATGCAAAGGCTGGCCAGGTAGCCGTTGGAGATGGAGAAGAAGATCATGAAGGTGATGTACCAGGCGTCGTGAGAGAATACGAGAGGCAGGTAGTCACGGGGCTGCACGTTGCACAGCATGAAAAGGGGGATGAAGATGACACGGAGGGCCACCATCACTGGCAGGAGGCAGCTGTCCTTCCCGGGCTGGAAGGAAAACACAGGTCACTGAGCAGCCGAGCAGTGGGCACTCCCCATCCCATGGGCTGGTGGCAGGGGCTACAGAGGCTGTCCCTACTGCACCGGGGCTGCTGAGGAGCCACAGATCGGGCAAGGTTGCTGAGAGGCTTCCTTGGCTGCAACAAATCTCAGCGCCGCCGCTTGCTGTGGTGAGGAGGTCCTGCTCGGTCTGACTACTGCCCTGAAGCCCTGTCCCAGCCGACCTGGAGAGCAGCAGCACTACAGCCGAAATACCGAGCTGGGCTTGCGAGCGACTGCTAAGCCCTTGCCGCAAGCACCAGAGAGGCAGGCAGGAGAGCCTCGTGCACGCTCACGCGATCTCCTCCGGCAGCGAACCACCGGGCAGGAGAAGGCTGGCTGAGGCAAATCCCCTCTGGCACCTCGGGGCCTGCAAGCTGGGCTTTAACCAGCTCTTCAGCCTCCCACGCCATCCCCCAGCCGAGCGGGGCGAGGTCCAGCCATCTGGGAAAGGGATTACGCTGGGGCTGTGTCAGACAGCGCCGGGAAAGGCACGGGACGAATTAAAGTCTCCTCGCATCCTAACAGAGCCCCTGCACGCATGAGGCTGGGACAGGGAAGGCGGCACCGTGGCCCCATGTTCCCTGCAGCTGGGACCAAAGCAGCCCCTGGTGCGAGACGTGCCTGGCTCCGTCGGGGTCCCCTCCACGGGGTGCCAGGGTCGCAGGTGACAGGGCTGGGGTCCGGAGAGCCCCACGTCTGCCCCGGGAGCTCCCCGTGAGCGGGAGGGGAAGCTGAGGTCACGACCAGCCGCCGCGTCCGTGGGCAAACCGGCGAGAGCAGCAGCCTCTCCCTCCCGAGGAGGAGAGAAGGAGCGAGCGGG